CACCACCACCACCACCACCACCATCGTGTCCTCCAGTAACATGCCCACCACCCTCTTGTACAGTAAGTTTTCAATCAGTCACTGCAACTAAATTACCAAATCCGGAAAGGCAGGTGTTTATGAAAAAAATTTTTTAAGCCGCCCCCAGAAACATCCACCGACTGCTGCCAAGGTTGTTCATCAGACAACAGCAGCTGCACTGTCAGATACCGCAAACGATTCCGTGCCCGCAGCCGTGTACATAAACAATTGACTAAGCGTGAAATTACCGCTGATGACCACGAAATTGTTGCCCATGATGTCGACCCAACATGCAACAGTGAAAGACTTAAGAAAATTATGCTTCTTGTAAGTTTCTTGTCATCAAAATACAATCTCACTTCCATCAAAAATTTTTATAAACCTAAAAGAAGAAGCGGAAGAGATGGCCATAATAAAACTCAGAAGTTTTTTTTTGAGACTTAGACCAACTATAGAGGTCGATCGATAATAATTTTTTTTTTGTGTTCCAGAATATTACCAAAGATGTTGCTCAATCAAAACGAGAAATTCAGAAAAATTCTGAAGCTGAATTTAAAAGTAACTTCAATGTTATTTGCTCAGAAACAGCATTTTCGTATGTGGCCCATACCAGTACATACTGCCAAGCAAGTGTCGGAGGAGTAAACTGCTATGCCTTTTCGTTCTAAACTGATTTTACTAAATACTCTAAAATTTTGTTTCTCATTATAAAAAAATTATTTACAACTTCCAACTGTACTCTATAAATCGCTAAAATAAATTGAAAACTTGTATAATTGGATAAGGTTTATCGCGGTGGTGACGTTGATAGCAACAAATGGACTACCAAGATGAGCTGTATCAATGTTTAAATAGCCAAATAAAAACTAAAATGTAGCTAAAAAATTATAAATCTGCCAAAGTTTCAAAGAGAGAATTACAATTAATCTTAAAGGTAATAGTAATCTCATTGGAATTCCATATAAAATTTCACAAACATATCGGATTTTCAATCACTTAATTCCATCTTCAAGTTTTACTGTACTTATACAGTTCTTTTTCGTGGCGTTTTCGCAATTCGTTTTCGTTTTTGCAATATTGTGGCTACTGTCAAGAAATAAGCATTAAACTTTGTGTTAAAACGGTCATTAAAAACTGCTGAAAATTTCTCGAGATTACACAGTAATTAAACCAGTAAAAAAAAAAGAGAAGAATTGTTTAAAATTTTTTACTGTAAAAATGTTCTCAAGAAATGCTGTTTTTATATTTATATAGAACTCTCGTTGTCTACAGAGTTACAAATTTGTGGATTAAATGAACAAATGATATTTATAATGTTAAAGCCAGAATCAGAAAAAAAAAAGACAAACCTGTCTCTTCTTTTTTTCTACAACAAGTAAAGAGTTAAGAAATACAATTGGTAATTTGAAAAGATTCTAATGTTAACAGATTGACTGTGACCAAACTTATCCAAATGTGGATGACAGTAATGATGACACGATTAAAAGAAGCCGTAAGAATCTGTTTTTTTTTTTTTAAAACAGATTGTTCGATTGTCAAAGACAAATAAGTTGCTAACAGTTTTCTCCTCTACAAACAGCAAAGACTATTCCCCAGCTTTTGCTGTTTGTAGAGGAAAAAACTGTTCCCCAGCTTTCCGGTCCGACTTCTTTGAATAAATGATAACCTATCGTTCTATGAAGCTATTGGTAAATACTTTTTTTAGCTACTAACTGTTTGTGGCTCAGTTTATTCAGTTTTTTAATATACATCATTTTTTAATTTTTCTATTTTATCCAAAAATAATGTTTTATTAGTTTCTTTAATGCAATGTTTATAACAAATTGTCCAATTTTAATCACATAATTCAGCCTTCTAAATTTCAGTATATAATTTTCTATTAGCAGATTTTTTTTTGCTGATTAACTTTAAATATAGTTAAGCCTCAAAAAGAATTTGTCCGCATAAATTAAAAAATCTTTAAAAGTAAAAAAAAATAAAGCAAAAGACAATTTGCTACTATCGTTTTTATTTTTTATTGTTAAAATTGTCAATACATATAATTATTTTTGTCAGTGAAATATATAAATGTAGCCAAAAAAAAAATCAACAAATGTTTTCTTTTATTGTAAAAAATTTTTCCTTATCAGCTACACAGTTATTAAACCTGTGAAAAAGTTTTAAATAGCAAAAACAATTATTGTATAGATCTGTTTTTGAGATGTCGCTATATTTTCTGTTAAAAGTTAAAAAAGAAAATTTTTTTATCAAACATTTAATTTATTCTTTTACTACAGCTTTTACATAGGATAGTTTATCCTTTGCAAAAACAAAAAACAAAAATTTACTGTTATTTTTGTTGCTAATGACAACGACAATAAAATGTTTACAGTTAGTTATTCAATGGTATAGAAAAAGCTGTTTTTGTACAGTAATAAGCTGCTGTTTCGACTAACCCTCTATCAGTACAATTTTAAAATCTCTCTTTTTTTTTCGCTAAAGCAATAACATTAGAAGAGAAAGAAAAGAAAAAAGAAGAAAATAAGTTATTCTTATATGCACATCAATTATTCTTCATTTGCTTCATACAGATGATATTTTACTTCTTACCAATACCTTCTTCGACGTCACATCAGCATTCGATGACATTTATCCAATGTGTGCTGTAAAAAAAAGCTTTGTTAGTTCTGCCAACTGATAACTGTTAACAACAAATATTGTTAAGTTGCAGTGGTGATTAACGTCTATAAGAAGTATTATTCATGCGTTACTTTTTTTTTCACATTTTGAATAACAAACAAAGCTCGGTTATATACTGCTAAGTTTTTCAAGACGAAAAAGACAAAAGTTTTTATATCTATTTTCTTTCTCAATAAAATTAAATTTTTTTTTGTATTTTTGGCGTTATAAATTTGGAAAAACTATTCTTTCTTTATTTTTTTTCTAAACCAGAACCAGAAATAGTATATCTCAGTATTACAGTCGATAAAGTTATCACACTGCTATTATTGTCATAGACTGATACTGTAGTTAAAACTATTACAATTTTTCCTTTTATTTTCTTTTCTTTTTGAAACTATTCCTATCAATTTTAACACATAACTCAGAAGATTTCTGTGAAGAGAGAGGAGAGGAGAAGAAGGGTATTTTGTTTACTTCCTACTGGCCAATGGTTCTGACATACAATTGGTGAGGAAGAAGCATCAAAAATTACAGTTCTGTCCCCTCAATGCTTTTTTCTTACATGTTCAGTTTGCTTTGGTTGTTCAATGGCGATACTTATTCTGGTATGTTGGCATGTTCAACAAAGAAAAACTGTTTAAAATGTGATCAAATAATAGTTTTAGAAGACAAAGAAACTATAATATGGTTTAAGAAATATTTTTAAAAAAATGCAAAAAATATTTCTTCAGTAGCATGATAATTTATTTTATTTCTTTGAAATTCTCCTTCTAATCACTTATAAAGAAGTGAGTAAACGAGCGAAAAAAATAATGCACCTCTTTAGTGGTTCAGTATAAGTGGTTAAATTTTGTAAAAAAAAAAATAAAGTAAAAATAGCACTGTTAACAAACGTTAAATTTTCTTTCTACTTCTTTTTCAGTAGCCTTTCTTTACTACTTATAATTCTAACGGTAATAAATTACTGAAAAAGTATTCCTAATGCCTGAAAAAAAATCTTTTTTTTTTGCTAAACTATTACACAAACTTCAAGCAGTAATTTAAAAATGATAAAACAATAATTCACTAACTAGTATTACTCATGGTACACTTAATCCTCATTCTATAGGTAGCCGCCATATTCTGTCTTCTACAGTTTGTTTTGCTTATAAAGCACATTTCCATATTTCTTTACAAAAAAAAAACACTAATTGCTGTCAAACAACTACAGAGATATCAGAAGGAAATTTGTGTCAGTTGAACCTAGTTAAAAGAATATCAGAACAGAAATGAACTGTTTTGATGCTTACTGAACTGTAGCACACTGTTTAAGGCTGCCGGGTATTATACAAAAAATACAAAAAGAAAAGTGGGATTTTGATACTGAAAATTGTCACTTTTCTCCTCGTCAGATTAATTAATTGGATGTTTTTCTCTCTTCTTAACATTCCATTCTGGTCAGCTGCTAATAGAGATATTTTTTATAAATACTGCTTTCAAGAATCTCTTTTTACATAAACTGAAGGACAAATATTGAGCGACTAGAGCTGTAAGTGTCTAAAAAAATCGATATAGAGTAATGTCAGAATCTTCAAAGGTATCTTTAATTCAGTTTATTGAACCGTTTATATTTTGAGTAAAAACCATTTATTTGACGAACTATAAAGTTAGCTTTACTAAATCTACAGTTTTGATTAATTTAACTACTTAATTGAATTATTTTTTGTATAAGCAACACTCAGCAAGTAGTTAATGGCCTAACCAGAATGATAAACGATAAGAACTTGATGTGTTGCTCGTTCTGCTTCATTTACTTAACCATATCTACACACAGTGAATGACCCAATTTTATAACCTCAAATTTCACAATCATTTTGAATTCTATAAATTTGACTGTAAAACATCTCGGATACACTTTTATGTAACCAACATTGACTCCATTAGAACGAATAAATTTTTGCCGTTTGTTTTACCATTTTCCAATCGTCGCCTTCGACTCAGATTGGTCACCATTTGATTTTGTGATGCAATTTTTTTTTGCGCCTATTAGGCAGTAAAATCCAATTTCCATTAGTATTTAAAATAATTTTAAGATCTGACTAATTTTTCCAGAAAAGAAAAAAGAGAAAAAAGCTTTTTTGACTGCACCGTTAAGTACTTTTTTTAAAAAGACTAAAGAAAAACTGCAAGCGTACAGTGAAGGAAAATCGGTAGAGAAGAGAAAGTGTTCGTACAGCTATGATAAAGCAGTGCCTAATTAGTTAAGCTGCTATATAATATGCTTATCATAAGCTAAAATTTCCTGTCACTAAAATCTATGCAAACTTTCATTCAGCAAAATAGACTTTGTCTATTCCTAATGATGCTTTCTTTTGCCCAATATTTTTTTGCCACTGTAAACTAAAGAAAAAAAACATTTTCCGGAATTTTATTAGATATTTTGCTGTATTATTGTAACAACTGTTTGTAATGCTCCTCTCCTACCTTTTTCTTTTCTAGAAACAAAAAACAACACAACTTTTATTTTTTGAAATTTTATTTCGTATTTCTATGTGATAATTTTTTTCTTATATTCCAAAAAGAATTCTCTGCTTCAGTTAGTTCATAGAATTTTTCATACAAATTAAAAAACTCTCCAATAAAATTTCTTATACATCAAAGTTTTTACAAAAAATTTCTTCAAAACTGTGGCCTTTCTTGCCTCAGTAGCACTATAAATTGCATACATATTGAAGATGTTTTTAAGAACTAATGCTCACCAAGTTTTCACCGATATATACTATAAACAACAAAAAAACAAAGAAAAAAAGAAAATTAAAAGATAGAAAATAAAAGCAAAAACCAGTAAAATTGCTCAGCCGTAATTTTCTGTTAAATTCTGATGACCAGAACTGCAAAAACTGGTAAGATGACCAATATGATAAAGCTTTCTGCTTTATTCATTTATCACGAATTGAGCATCCTATATTGCTGTCTTAAAAATTGCCGAGCAGAAAGTTTTCAGGCAAAAATAAATTTTTAGACATGC